ATCCAAGCCAACCAATGCCATATCTTCCAAATCACTATTACTATTAGCAATACGCTTGCTTTCCGTTTGCAGCACCGCTTCTTCCAGATTAAACAAGAGCGACGCTTCTTCGAGAAAAGAACCCGAAATCTTGCACAAAAAAAAAAACGATTAAAAAAAATCAGTATCATATAAAATGTTTACTTTGATGTGGCAATTGTAATCGAGTAAGATAGTAGTCACTTTTGGAAGGTGTTGGTTGATGAGAGTGAGTTTGTCCTTGAAATCTAGATCGCCGCACTGTTGTATCAGGAGGAGGAAGAGATTGGCGAGGAAGCGATTAGAGTGGTGTTTATCAGAAGAAGAAGGAGAAAGTAAGGCATGCGATTCCATCAGTGTTATCATTCTCTGAACTTCTTCTAGTTTCTTCAGCTCTTCCATGCTTCACTCACTCCCTCGCTCCAGAGATGTTTTGCAATTTGGGGAAAATGGAAAGAGGGACTGCGAATGCTCAAATGGAAATTCAGCTTACCGGTATATATAGAAAAAACTGCACGACATCGTTTAAAGTCACATTACGGGTCACGCTGCGGTTTTCAGTTTTCACTATTTCAAGGGAAAAAATCGAACTGTCCTTAAACAAATATGTCTGTCCATAACATGAGTTTTGCAAGGCATTCCATTTCCTTCATTAATTTCAATATATATATACATATATATATATATGTATATACATATATATACATATGTATATATATATGGTTATTTCAATTTTTTGGCATGTTCAAAGTTTAATTTTCTCTCTCTATTTTTTAAGGTTTTTAATGTTTGTGTAATCTAAGTTTTTTCTTTTATGGATCTCAAATTTCTTTAAACTTTTAAAATTAAATTTTAATATTTTTAGGCTATTACCATTTCTTTTATGGTTTGAGAGGTTGTCTAGAAAATGAAAAAAAAAGGCAGAAAATTTAAAATGTATAATGATTCTTAAAATGACATAATGAAGTAGAAAAAAATAAAAGGAAGTAGGTAAGTTAATTAATTATTTAAAAATGTTTGTTTTTATGGTCTAAGCTGTTTTTAAAGCAATTTTTAAATTATTTTTTAAATGAAAAAATAAATTAATATTTTTTATTTTTTAAAATAAATTTAATGTGTTTACTTTGAAGAATATCTAATAAAAATCATCATCTTTTCAATTTTAAAAAATATTTTTTAAAAAATTAGTATTCAAATCATAATTATTAAACCCGAATCTATCTAGTAAGTTAACTTAAAACTTGTTAACCCAATAATTAGACTAGTCCGGATAAAATAAAAGACTGAAATGAGCAAAAACTTGGTTGACTAGTAATCTGAATAATCCGGTAAAACTTGGTTGGGATCTAATTTTTTTTAAAAATATTTTTTCTCTTACAGCCAAAAATCTATTTTTTTTAATATTTTTTAGTTGGTTATTAACTATTTTCAAAGTTTATTATATAAATAATATAAAAATATTTTATTTTTTTAATATAAAATAAAAAATATTTAAAACTTAATTATTTATAATATATAAAGTTTATATTCAAACGAATTAATTTTTAATTTTTTATATGAAATATTAAAATTTTAATTTTTAATTTTTTAAAATTAATTTAAGCTAACTCAAATTAATTTATATAATTAAAACCTGATTTCTTAATCAGGTTAACTTTAAATAAGGTATTGTAACTATAATTAAAATTATATACATGATAGTTATATGAACAATTTGTGCAATGATATAAAACACCTAATTCATAAAAAGATGTCAAGAATAAATAAAATGTTAATTATACTTTATAAATGGAATTTTTTTAACAATAGACTATAAATATAGAATAAAAATTGTTTAAAAACCCATTTGTCAGATATAAATAAAAAATAAAAAAATATATTTTTTAAAATAATTTAAAAATATTATTTATAATTTTACTAAAAATTATATTCAATTCAAGCCGACTGTGTTTATATATTTTAAGGATATTTTAAATTTTAGATTGAGTTGACTTGCCAAATTCAGTATAAGAATATTCATATCCAGACCAAAAATCGATTTTGTCCCTTCAAATTTACCCAAATCTGAACATATCCCCAAGATTTTCTACCTGTGCAGATCGGTTCGGACTGATGTGACATGAAGGAGGACGAAATTGTCACCCTTGCTAAAAATGCTGCATTAGCCTGTAGCGCGCCAGTCGTTGAACTCATCGCCAGGCCGTTACAATCCTCTCTCCTCAACCAGAACAAAACCCCAATATAACCAGAACCAGAAATACAAAAAACGACACAATAATGTCTCTCGCCACCTATCACCACCATCTCTTCACTAACTCGCCGCCTCGCATCACCCTTCTCTTCAGCAGCAGCAGCATCTCACTCAGAAACCTCAGTCTTTCTCGCCACGTCACTACATCCTTACATTCCAGCAATTTCCACGTCAAACCCCAAACTCCCAGAAATTCTTTCAGTTTCACCCTCAAAGCATACCAATCAGACCCCACAATCCGAACCCAAGTTTCCAATCAATTCAATCTCGATCAATTTCTCTCGATTGCCGAACTACTCTGCATCATTTCATCGACAATTATCACAATCAGTCACGCATTGAACTGTACCTTTTCGAAAACGGTAGCGTTGGGGGTCGTAGGCAGCAACACGGGATTTGCGTGGGGAATGGTGGTGATGGTGAGTGGAGTTGTAATTGGTGCGTGGATAAGGAGGCGGCAGTGGTGGCGGATTTGTAGGGAGACAGGTAGGGAAGGGAGTTTGAATTTGGTGGGGAGGATTGATAAATTGGAACAGGATATGAGGAGTTCTGCGACCATTATTAGGGTTTTTTCTAGGCAGCTTGAGAAGTTGGGGATTCGGTTTCGGGTTACTAGGAAAGCTTTGAAAGAGCCCATTGTTGAGGTACCCATTGTTGAGCTGAACATCTTACTTTTTGGTTGGTTGTTAGGATTGCTTGTTTTCTTAACCAAGTATCTTTGTTTTTTATTGAACTTTGCTGTGATATGCTTTGTTCTGGCTTAACTTGAGCGTTCTTAGGCTGGATGAGCTTGGAGTAATGCTTTGATAACTAGCTTCAAGCAATCCTGATAAAGATGCTAACTGCTGCTTCAAGATTTTGGAATTTTGTAGGGTTATTTTGGATTTTAAGAATAACAGCTAAAACTGCAACATGATAGATTTATGCACTTTCAGTGGCAAAGGAATCACAGAAGTTGTTTACAGATAATAGAGGGAGTTTAAATTTTCTGGTTGTGAGTCCTCATGCATAGATTTTGTGCATGGGTTTCCTGATGATTGTCTGGAATGGTTGGTGGCTTTTGCTGCTTGCAATGCTCTGTTGCTTGAAAGAGTTTTGCAAAAGTCTTATTGATTCCAGTACTTAGAATTCTGGTACGTTTGCTGAGTGCTGACATCAAAAGAATGGATGATAATAAATGACCGTAGTTTACAGTGGCAGCTCTCAATGAGCAGCATCATTTATGGTGCATTTGCTATATGCTGAATTAAACTGTCCCCATTGCAGAAGAAATTATTGCCTTTTCTAATATTTGGCATCCTTAGAATCTTGAAACCTATTTTGATTTGGCATTTGGTTCTGTAAAAACTTGCTATATAGTTTGCAGCCTCAATTAAGAAGATACTGTTTTATTTATGCAGCAGGTTTAATACCTCTGACCCTGAATATATTGCTTAATAATTAATATCTGCTGATAATTGGAGAAGTTTTTCATAAGTAGCTCGTGTTAATTACTCAGCTATTAACTTCTTTCAATCTGCATCGAAGACTGCTGCTTTGGCTCAAAAGAATTCTGAGGCCACTCGAGCATTAGCATTGCAAGAAAATATTCTGGAGAAGGAGCTTGGTGAAATGCAGAAGATATTGTTGGCAATGCAGGTAAGTTCAGCCACATAGATTGATTATGCCAAAGAGTTTATATAAAAATGAGCAAAACCAGAGTCACGAAGCTTTTCGAATGAATAGGGACACCAACAGACAAATAAAAAAAGGTCATAAAGTTATATCTATAATAAACAATGATACCATGTTGCTTGCTGTGATCTGTTTCTATTTCAAAGTTTCTTTTAAATAGGCACATCCCTGTAATTATATATTATGTAATCAAGTGACTGGTATGAATTGCAAAATTGGTTCTGTGATTTTCTATGAAATGTGTCTGAAACCAATTCAGGTGTCATTTGAACATAATCAAAGAAATAGACTGTGCACAGCCGCCAAAAAAGTAAATAAAAAGATAATATGATGTTTTCTAACACTACTGGCTTCAATTTAATAAAGAACTTCTCATGCTACGTGTTGAAGAATAACTACTTGCGCTGATAAAAACTGACATAGTGATTCTATGCTGGGAGAACATAATTTATCTCTTGTGATTAGTTCCATGGCTTCTGGTGAATGGAGTGATACGGTTTTCAAATGCTACAATTTTGACTTTAATTTGTTGTCATCTTTGCAGGATCAGCAACAAAAGCAACTCGAGCTAATTCTTGCTATTGGAAAGAGTGGGAGGTCATTGGATAACAGGCGGGAATTTGTCCAAGAACAAGAATTGATTAAAACACCTGATTTAACTGAGGGGGTGAACCAATTGGAAACCTATGAAACTCAACCTTCAGTTACAAGCAAGGGAAGCCACAATAACAGACCATAAAAAAATAGTAGTAAATACTCACCACCAGATTGCTCTGTTTTTCTAACTGCACAAGGTTCTGTACTCTCCTCCAAATGTCATGATAACTAGACTGTTGGCCACCTAGGACAAGATCCCCAGTTTCTTGATCTGGATCTGCTACCTCGGCAGTGTGAAGGAAAATGAACGAAGGACTAATAAATCTTTATACAAGTTAGACGCAAATTGTTCTTTCTTGGTGCTCATACCTGTGTAATTTCTAAGTTGTATTTTGTATTCAATTTTCTTATTTGATAATACGAATTTCATTAGGATTCTTATCTTTTGAAGTTTGAACTCATGCCACAAGATGTAGTCTCGTTTTTTCAAGAATCAGGCAGCAGCAATGCTATTTTGTTTTTCTTTGATTTTTCCCATAGAGCAGAGTACTCACATAAAAACAAAAAGATGGTGATGTTGGAATATCAAATTACCATTTTGCTATTTAGGACCTTGAAGTATATTGGTAGGGTGTGAAAGCTGCAATTGTACCTCTATCGAAACTTATAGACCTCACACTCTTTGGTTTAATCCTTGCTCACGCGAAAGTTCGATTTGTCCCTAAAACTACTTTCAAGGTTCTTAGCAAGCTTGTTTTTGCCTTGCTTAACTTTCATTCAGCTTGGTCCATCCATTACTCTCAAGAACATTGTTCAGTGGTGGTTCATTCCTGTAAATGTAATCATTAGTGCTACCATTGGTTGCATATTAGGATGCTTGGTGGTGATTTTATGCCGGCCACCAAGCGAGTTTGTTCGGTTCACAATCACCACGGCTGCATTTGGCAACACTGGCAATATTCCACTTGCAGTGGTTGCATCAGTGTGTCACAGTTCCAATGCTCCCTTTGGTCCTGATTGTTACGGGAATGGTATTGCTTATGCATGCTTTTCTCAATGGGTTTATGTTATTCTTGTTTATACTCTTGTTTACCACATGATGGAGCCTCCATTGGAGCAGTATGAGATTGTTGATGAAGAGGTAGAGATTTTGGAAGGGCCTGTTGATCTCAGGAAGCCACTGCTTGTAGAAGCTGAGTGGCCAGGGATAGAAGAAATGCCTAGACACAAGTTGATGCGCTTTGATAAAATGTCTCGTGAAGAAGTTGCAAATTTATCATATTGATATTTTTGCACTTACTAAGTTTATATATTTTGACTTGATATATAAAGTGTTATAAATTATATAAATAATTTAAAAAACAAAAATGAAGTGTTAACACAATAAAATTGGTGAGAATACAAGATCTATACTCCTAATTACATGAATAAATTGACAGAGATAACATAAAATGCACGGCCTGTCACTTTTTAGTTAGAAAATTAAGTTCATTTGAACCTATTTTATTATTTATTTTATTTATTTAAAATTATTTATGTTATATAGTCTGATTTGATGGGTTAAGATCAATAATGATATATTTTAGAATTTTATTATTTATATATCTTTCTAACATTTTACTAGACAGTTTTTAATCATTAATTAAAAATATTATATATTTTCAATTTCAATTCCTTTTCCTTTGCTTCAATTCTTAGCATCTTTTTCTAAAAACTTATTTTATTTTCCTGCTTTTTGATTCTTTTTATCTTGTTCCGCATCACAAATATTGGAAAGTGAGTCATTTTCCAGCAATTTATAGCAGCTGTGTTGTATCTTTCAAAAGAAAAAAAAAAAAACTCCTCAAAACAGCTTTGCAGGTTTTGTTTTGCACACTTGTTCTCCTTATTGATGAGTGATACACCCCCGAGAACGCATCTCCTTGTCTAAGTTGTTACCTGGTCAAATCAATCTAAAGAAGAATTACAGAACTCAACAATCATAGAGATGGTCCTTCATTAATTTTGGAGCCAATCAAAGAGGTTTCACGTGCTATCAACTCGTGATCAATAATTTCTTCCAAAAAATGTTGAAGCCTCATACTTCTTTTGATTAATTAGCTCTCAGAATCAATTACTATTAATTTAATAACGATGATGACGACAAGGGACTCTCCAAGCCATGCAGGTGGCAAGATTTGGCTGGGGAAAAGGGCCAGAGAGTGACATAATTGGAGGAACAGGGACAAGACTCTCCATGTTATGTGGGAGAATCCATGCTACAGCCTAGCAGCCTCGCACATGCATGAGACGCCCCACCAACCCTCCAAAGGTGCGGTGATTTGCAGTGGAAAGTAAATAGATATGAGATGTTGAGTATTTGGCACCATACAACACAGAGCTACCATTTCACACACACTCGTTATCTGTCTTCTTCTTCTTCGTCTTCTTCTCCCCTCTTTCTCCATGTACAGAGCATCCACACATATTGGGATCCTGTGGGTCTATTTTTGCAATAATTAGAGCATTCGTCTCCTCCTTTTTCACATTTGCTTAACCAAAGCTATTAATTATGAGAGACTTGAGGGCATGCACTGGTATAATGCAAGATTCATGTCTCAAATAATTTGATTGAATATGACAAATTGTCTTAAGATAATAATCTGCTGACTTGCACATCATCTCTATTCTCACAAAGCATAAGGCTAAATTCAAATTCCAACTCCAGCTAGCATTTTTTGTGAAGTTGCCCAGGAAACCTAAAAAAGAAGAAGGGGGTTTGTCTTTAAATAGGCTACTGTAGAACACATTATAAAATGAAACAGAACTTGTGGAGTTACAGTTTAATGTATTTTATAGAAGTTGATTTGTTACCTAAATTTCTTCTGTTTTCCGTTTTGGATATGATACAACTATGATTAATTGAAGATATGGGATGACAACTTATAAACATTATTATAGTTATCACTATTACTACAATAACATCATTAACAACAATAATAATAATATTAATTATAATAATAGTAGTAATGATGGCAATAATGGCATAATAATAATATTAATTATAATAATAGTAATAATAATGACAATGATAGTAATGATAAAAATAAAAATAATTAAACTTTTATTATTTTATACTAACTTAATTATAATTAGCATTATTACATGTTTATCATAGATATGATAAAAACTCTTAGCACACTTAATATTTATTTTTACATTTAAAAAAATTAATACAACCCGATGGCCACTAAATTAGTACTTCCTCACAAAATTGTCAAAAATATTTTTTTGACGCAACACGAAATATATAATATAAACTTGAATTGTAAACTTAAATCATAAAATTGTAAATAAAATATTTTAACTAATTATATATTAACAATTTCAATCAAGTAGTAATTAATAATATAATACAATTAATATAAAAATGAAATAAATAATAAAAAAGTCCAAACACATTTATTTTATTCACATTGATTCCTTTATTTTTTAGATAAATCGACCCACTTAATTTGTTATTTACAAGAAATAAGTCCTTTCAAATAATGAGTCCTTTCAAATTTTGATAGACCATTTAAGATCAAGTATGTCAATTTACAACTTTTATTTTATATATTTGTTAGCTAAAACATAGTAATATAGTAATTGATATATTAACAGTTTATATAAAAAAATTTGAAAAATGAATAAATATTCTAATTTTATAAAAATAAAATCCACAAATATCTTATATCATTAAAAAAATTATAATAATTATAGTCAAAATCAAGCCTTTGATTATCAAATTACACAAGTTTTAAAAGATATAAATTTAAAATAATAAAAATATTAAGGTGTAGATTATTAAAATGTATAATTTTATATATTTTTTTAAACTTGTAAAATCACTTAGATTTTACCAAGTTTGAACAATTTTTCTAATTTTCATTTTTTAATTTAATTTAACACATTAAATACATATTTACTCATAAAATTATAAAATTTTAAAAGTAAACGCATTTTTTAATAACATCACTGCCTAGAATCCCATAGGAGAGAATATACCCGAGGAGCACAAGATGCTTTGTGTGCTTTACCTTTCATTCAAAGTTTTGTTTTTTTAGAAAATAGTACAATCAACAAAAAAAAATTTGTACAAATTAGCATAATTTGAGGAAATTTTACGAATATAGTATCATTTTGTTGGAGCAACCGTAACTTTGATTTGCAGAATATACTTTTTGAGTATGCTATTTTTTTTAAAAAAATTAAATAAATAAAACTATTTCATTATACTCCTTCACCTTTCTCTTTTTTAGGACTGTTATTTCACATGAAAATCTAGATTTTATTGCAGTAGCTGATAGGCAGACCTAGCTAGATTAATATATACATACACATATATATATACATACATATATATATATATATTCATATATTTATATCCAGCATAAACGACGAAATGAAGCAATTGCATTCAACGAAGAGGCTAGCTCAAATAAAATTATACATCTCAGAACGTTTTACATCACTTTTTTAGTGACAAGAACATCTCCAGAGTTTAAACCAACTTTTTTAAGCAGAAATGTTCAAACTAATCATAGATTATATGGGAAACAAATTGTTTATCAAGGCCGGCAAACCTCTAAAAATCAACCACTGTAAGATCACTTCCTAATCTTCTAAACCCGTGATCTCTTCCAAGCTTACAAACCCTAACCCTACCTGTTAAATCGGATGAACTCCGGAGAAGAAAGAAGAAAAAACACAGAGGGTGTTACTTTGAATCACCAGATCCATCCTGCAAGACCTCAATATAAATTAATCCAATTAGGGTTTGGAACCATAGGGTTGTTGGTGATGGGTTCAGTGATCCTGCAGATCGTCTCACCTAATAATTTGATCTGGTCAATAACTGTGCTTGGGAAGTCAAGTATAAAATGGTAGGTGACGACCAATGAAGTAGAAGTAGGCCGTCCACTGGGGTAGGTAAGGCTGTATTATATGCGATGTTCCTCTGACCAAAATAAATAAATAAATAAAAATTGAAATATTCGTGCACCTAAAATCCAGAGACGTTAGACTTCCGTTTTTGGCCCTCATGTAAGAACATCATAGAGCCACGTCAAGTGCTTTCATACCTAAACCTACCAAGCTGGTGTCGGGTTGGCTCTACAATATTTTTGCTTTTTTAGCGTGATTTTCAAAATATTTTTCAAGTATTTTTGTTTATAACTTTAATTTTATAATATTAAAAATAAAAAAATTATTTAATACATTTTTTATTAAAAAACATATTACTAGATACACACTAGATTTAATCAGGGTTATGTTAATTTAATAACAATTTTGTTAAACTTAATACATGAGTTTCTCAAAATTATTAATATATCTTGTTCATTAATATTTATTATTATTATTTTATTTATATAGATGTTCCGGCTAGATTATTTATATATATTTTAATTAATTTTATAAATTTTAAAATTAATTATTATACAACTTTTTAATAGCTTTGAAATAATTTCAACTTATAATTATTAAAAAATAAACTTAAAATATAAATATAAACAGTTAAGCTCAATTCTTAAAATTATATTTATTATATTCTAATTCAACATATTATATTTTTTTAATAATGATATAAAAAAACTAAAATAATTATTTTTTAAAAATAATAACTCTTCTAAAACTTTATTAATTATCTGTCAATATTATGAATATCAAAACTAATATTTTACAAGACATAGTATTTTTAATAAAAAAATATTTATTTTTGTTATTAAATTTTTTAAAAAAATATTATTATTTATTTTTATTTTATATTAATATGTTTTTATTTTATTGTATCATCATAAAAAAATAATTTAAAAAAATAAAAATAAAATAAATTAATTTATTTTAAAAAAATCTATAACAATACCACCTAGGATTAAACTCAATTACCTAAAACTTTTATATTTCACTTTTATTGACCAAAACACCCTTTCCCACACCTGGGTAAACAAGTTCCTCCATGTCATTTTCCCAAAACACCCTTCCCTCCTCTTCTTCCCACTTTGGAGCTACTACTTTTTGACTGCATTCGAAGTCTACCAAACCTCTTTCTGTCCGACTCACAAAACCCCTATAAAACTCCCTTTACATCCCCCTCTTCTACTCCAAATCTCCTCTCTCTGTTTCTCTCTCTCTCTCTCTCTCTCTCTCTCTGTGAAAAAACCGTTTCAAGAAATATTTAGAGTGAAAGAAAGAAAGCGTTAAACCTGAAGCAGAAGAATGGCTCTTTCAACTCTCTCTTCGAAATCTCTCTACAGCAATGCCAACAATCTCTTTCAACAAAACCAGCAACTACAATCACCCACTTTCTCTCTTGCCCCTGGAAGCAAAACGCTCAAGTCAAAATCGAACCTTTCAATCTCCGCCGTCCATGCCGCCGAGCCCACCAAGAATTCAGTTTCCGTGAAGGAATCTGCGGCCCCAGTTGCTGCCCCTGGGACTGGAAAATGGTCCTTGGAGAGCTGGAAAACCAAGAAAGCATTGCAGCTGCCCGAATACCCTGATGCTAATGAGCTCGAGTCAGTTTTGAAGACCATTGAGACCTTTCCGCCAATAGTTTTTGCTGGAGAAGCAAGGAGTTTAGAGGAGAAGCTTGCTGAGGCTGCAATGGGGAATGCTTTTTTATTGCAAGGTGGTGATTGTGCTGAGAGTTTCAAGGAGTTTAGTGCTAATAATATAAGGGATACTTTTAGGATTCTGCTTCAGATGGGTGTTGTACTTATGTTTGGAGGTCAAGTTCCTGTCATTAAGGTTAGATCTATTTCAAAAAATTTGAACTTTAATTCTCTGGTGATGATTTAAATGTGCTTATCCTTAAGTAGGTCTATTGGTTGATAATAACTCCAATCATTTGTTTATTTTAGCTGATATGATTTCAAAAATAAATTTGAATGAATATAAGTTGATGGTTTTATGATATTATCGGGGAACATTTTAGATGGTATGCTTTATTTTAGATGGTATGCTTTGCTTTTATGATTTTGCATCAAGGGTATTGATTGTTTTGAAGGAGGATTTAGTTTAGAGGACTTAAGTTCAATTACAGAATCTGAATTGTGATAAAAATTGAAGTCGGATGTTTTGTTACTTTTTAGTATTGCTATTAACTTAATTTAGAAGCTACTGGATTGGGAAGATTAAGAATTGTGGGGTTGGTTATTTGTAGGTGGGAAGAATGGCCGGTCAGTTTGCAAAGCCAAGATCAGATCCATTTGAGGAGAAGGATGGAGTGAAGCTGCCAAGTTACAAAGGGGACAATATTAATGGAGATGCTTTTAATGAGAAATCAAGAATCCCAGACCCGCAGAGATTGATAAGAGCTTATTGCCAGTCTGCTGCAACTCTCAATCTTCTCAGGGCATTTGCCACCGGAGGGTATGCTGCAATGCAGAGAGTTACACAGTGGAATCTTGACTTTGCACAGCACAGCGAGCAGGGAGATAGGTATGCAAAACTGAACTTTCCTTGGACACATTTGTTTGTAATTTCTTAAATTTATGAGTTTCATGAAAGAAGGAATGAATCCCATTGGAGGACTTCCGTTTCTTTTCAATGTATATTTCAATAAATTTATGGATTCACTTGTGGAAGTGGTCCTCTGAAGATTAAAGTTGAAGTTCATGAGCCATTTTACATATTTAACATGGCTGTCATCTGGATTGTTCCGCAGGTACCAAGAACTTGCTAACCGTGTTGATGAGGCCTTGGGATTCATGGCTGCAGCAGGACTCACAGTGGATCATCCAATCATGACAACTACTGAATTTTGGACATCCCACGAGTGCTTGCATCTTCCCTATGAGCAATCTCTCACAAGGCTTGATTCAACTTCTGGCCTCTATTATGATTGCTCTGCTCACATGCTTTGGTGTGGAGAGCGTACTCGCCAGCTGGATGGTGCCCACGTGGAGTTCCTTAGGGGAATTTCCAACCCTATTGGCATCAAGGTACTTTGAATGCAAATTTCACGATGAAACTGTCTCTAACTTTATGATCTGTCGTTGCTGATATTGTCTAACTTATATGTCCGTGAAAGTACTTGATAATCATTATTTTTGTTCAGTTAATGACAATATGCTGACTGTTTTATGTTTTCATTTTGTAATGTTTTGGCAAAACATTTTTGCTGAGAACATGCATTCTCTTTGTGATGCTAGTGTTGATGAAATATTGTTATGCATGAATTTTTGCATGTTGGAAATGGGAGGCTGAAAGTGCAAGTTGTGATGCAGGTGAGCAACAAAATGGATCCAAATGAGCTAGTAAAACTCATCGAAATCTTTAATTCTAATAACAAGCCAGGAAGGATTACAATCATCGTTAGAATGGGTGCTGAGAATATGAGAGTGAAGCTTCCCCACTTGATCAGAGCTGTTCGTAGGGCAGGACAAATCGTGACATGGGTCTGTGATCCAATGCATGGAAACACCATTAAGGCTCCTTGTGGACTGAAAACACGCCCCTTTGATGCTATTTTGGTATGACTTATCACACATTCTTACTATTATATCATCAAGTATTCAGTCACTTGTAGCATTTGATCACAATTTGTATTGCATGTTAAGTGGAGCATATTCTTCATCATGAGATAGTATGTGTAAAAAGAATCCACAAATTAAAATTACATAATGCAGAGTAATATTGTTTTCATGAGACATCATCTGAATTCTTCCTTCGCATGCCATATAGATTGATATTCACAGCACTTAAATATCATATCAATAGGTGCCCCCTTAGGATCCTGGTTATTGTAGCATTTGTTGCCCGCCCTCTTGCCTCACAATGTGCCCCAGATATGCTCTGGATTTTTAACGTTTGTAATCATTTTCTTTTGCTCTGCCATCCCCCTTCTCCAACCCTTGTGATAATATTATTGTTGTTCGTAGGCTGAGGTGCGAGCATTCTTTGATGTCCATGAGCAAGAAGGAAGCCATCCTGGAGGAATTCACCTAGAGATGACTGGGCAGAATGTGACTGAGTGCATTGGAGGGTCTCGGACAGTAACATTTGACGATTTGAGCTCCCGCTATCACACGCATTGTGACCCAAGGCTCAATGCTTCTCAATCGCTTGAGCTTGCATTTATCATTGCCGAGCGACTTAGAAAAAGAAGGATAGGAACTCAACGTCTGTTTTCCTTGGGCCAGTAGGCAGCTTCGAAACCCTGTGCTAATATGTATGGTCAGTAGACTAAATTTATTTCGTGATCAATAAGTTTCCCATGGATCATCCATCAAACTTTGCTTCGTAGCCACTGCTTATTGCTGTTGCATTGGCATAGTTGTTTTGAACAATGAAAACAACTCGAAAAGTCCCTTTTGCAAAGGAATTTCTTTATCATTTTCTCAAGCTGATCTTACCTGTGAAGGGGTATTGTGCATGCAGTGTTTTTAAGTGGAAGCTGCATATTGCAAAAGCAAGGTGTACCGGATAACTTGGTTAATTTGTTTTAACATTTCTATTAAACTTGGATTTATTTAATTTGAGGACTTAATTATAAAAGATATGAACTAAATTGAAATTTAAAAAAGAAGAAGAAGAAGAAAGACTGGAAATCTCTGGGTAGATTTGAGGCAGCCGAACTCTCCTAAATTGGAACAACTGTTTTAAAATATTTTTCATGTCTGAACTATTATTTCTTGTTTAACTTGCAAAAGCAAGGACAACAATTTTTAGTTCAAATGGATTTGAAATTGAAATCTAAAAGATTTAGATAGGTTCGACTATGTTCTAAATTTTTTGTTTTTTCTCCAATAATTACCTGGTATTTAAAAGTTGTTATTTTATAAGAATTTACAATTTATAAATTAGTTGTTCCTTCCTAGTCAACGAGGACAAATCCACGAGTCAACAATACATAATGTCTTTGCATCTTCACCGTTCAACTATCATTAGTTCTTTCAAGTACCATTTAAGCCGTTGTTACTTGTTCTTAATATCTATTACATTCTCCTCTTATTTAAAAACACTTTGTCCTCAAGTTTAAGGTAGGCATTCTTAAGCTAAATCTTACCTACTTAGACAATGTTGTTCTTGTTTTGCTCCCCCCCCCCCCCTCACAACTCCTCCTTAATTCTTTTAATTATGATTGTTATGTTTGATACTAGGGTGTAACCATATACTACTTTGAAATAAGTAGCTTTTAAGAATGTACATTAGAGGATGTAACCATATACTACTTTTAAGAATGTATGGTGATTAGTATTATACCATTAGTCAACCATACTTAACCATTTGGACTATTATTTAGGGTTTTGTTAGTGATTTTGAATTGTTTGTTTGAATAAGGGTAATAAATTAAGAATATTTGTAATTGAACTCCGTCTACCCTGAAAAGTCCATTTTAGAAGCAACCAATATACGTAATATTTTTATTAATGATGATGTTTTTTGATGAACCACGTAGTTTTATAATATTCTAAGCAAAAACCCATGCTACCTTGTTGGTATTATAGGGATTTATTAGGGGTGTAAAGCAAGCATGTTTTGATAGTCTATTAACTACCACCAAGATCATATAATAATTATCAAAATTAGACAAACTTTCAATAAAGTCCATTGAGATTAATGGCCAAGGTTTTTCATGTATAGGTAGGGGTTGTAATGGGTTTAAAAGTTTTGTGTTTTCTGTTCTAGTCTTTTGACAAATCTCATATTATCTGATATAATTTTTTATGTCAAATTTCATCCCTATAAAAAATCTTTTTGTGCTCTTTTAAAGGTTCTTTTATACTTAGCATGGCTATCGTATATGTATTATAGGGTGGTTTTTTTAGAGGATATCCCTTACTTACACATATAATTCTTGTAAATAGTAAAATACTTCTTTTTAGTCGACACTTACAAGCATTTACTCTTTCTTTTTTTCATTTGTTGAAGAATATTTTAAATTTTTAAGTATTCAATGTAACTCTCCTCAAGGTTATTCATCTAATTAGCTACTGGATAGGATATTTTTTATAATTTCTTTTTAGATCTTTTAGATAAAATGTCTGCAACTATATTCTCTTTTCAGCTCTGAAATCCATTGTAAAATCATATTTGATCAGTTTGGAGATAAAATATCTGTAACTATATTTTCTTTTCAGCTTTGAAATTCATTGTAAAATTATATTTGATCAATTTGGAGATCTATTTTTGTTGTGTTGGAGTCCTAATCTTCTATTTCATGAGATATTTAAAGCTTCGTTAATTATTTTTTATTTTAAATGTGTTTCTCAGCAATATAGCCTCAATTTCTATATAAGCAACATGAAATCTATAATTTTTTTTTGATATGTAAATAAAGCTAACTCCTTTCTTTTATGACCCTTGCTAAAATAGGAAATGGTTTTCCCCTTCTATATTAGAATTATCTCGGCTTCTTGTTACGAAGCATTATAGTCAATGATAAATGGTTGAGTAAACTATAAAGTTAGATAAATCTAGAATTGATGGGCTAGTAATAACATCTTTCAATCTCACAAAAGCTCTTTAGTTCTATTGTCTCACTTAAAAGCTCATTTCTTAAGCAGTTTAGTTAATGGTCTTGCTAAGATTCTATGCTATGAATCTTTTATAATTTTCTAGAATCCCTTTAATGACTTCAAATCAACATGTCTAAGCCAAATGACCATGATATTAGTTTCACTAGGATATACCTTCATCTTTTATAACTATATATCTAAGATACTTAATTTCCCAACATAAAAACTTACACTTAGCTAAGGTTTCTGGTATTATAGTTCAATAGACCAAGTGTCTTTTCTTATTCTTAGTGTATACTATATACTAATATATCATATAAAAATACAAGTATCAACTTTACAAGATAGGGTTGAAATACCTCATTCATTAGGCCTTAAAAAATGAAAGGTACATTAGTAAGGCAATGCATATATTCCATATCCTTTTTCATTATAAGCCTAAAAACATTATGAGGAATTTGTAGTGCTTTTCATGAGTTTTAAAGTATTTTAAAGAATATCTTAAGTTTTCATCCCAACTTGATTGTATTTTGATTGTAAATTCAATTTAGAGAAAAATTAGGATCCATACAACTTATCTTAATGCATGTCCACCACTAGTATATGAAACTTGTCGTTGATAATTTTTTTTATTGAGAGTCTTGTAATGCATGCACATTCTTCATGATTTGTCTGTCCTTTTCTACTAATAAAACTGGTGAAGCAAAAGGACTTTGGCTAAGTCTAATAGTAACCAGCTTAAACAACTCCTTTAAAATTTTCTAAATCTTAGCTTTTTGGTAATATAGGTACCTATAAGGTTTAACACTAATTGGTAAGGTTTCCTCTTTCAACACAATAGAGCGGTTATGAAACCTCTTTGAAGGTTATCTATTGAGCTCTTTAAACACCTCTTTAAAATCTTGTAGTAACTCATGTCTTATCAAGGACATGTCTACTAGGTTTTTCAACCATTGTTTCTTGTCCATGTCTTCCTCCTTGATCAATTCTCAAACTCTTATCTTTTATGATTAGATGAGTAAACAAAGAGAGAAAGAGTGAACAATTCATTTCCTTCCCTAGTTAACCACCCTAGATCTATTATATTTTCTATGTTCTCGGACTTGAAGACAAATGCTACAAAACTAGATATGGACTTCAACATATTTGTCTTGTCCAAACAACAAAATAAAATTGTTCAAACATGAATGCCTTCGAACTCATCCCTTCTGACCATTTAATATTCAATTGTTTCATTAAGGTTATGTTTGTTTTCCAGAATTTATTTTTCAGGAAACCACTTTCTAAACTTTTCCGTATTTGTTTGCAATTAAAAAAATTGGTTAACGGAAAACACTTTCCAGTTAAAAGAAAATTTGGCTCGGTTTATAGAAAAGTATTTTCCTGAAAAATTTAGATGTAAAACAATTTTTGAAAGTTGTGAAAAATTTAGAAATGTCATATTATTTGCTAATTATATCAAATTTGATCCTTAAACTTTTGATTGCTATATATATTTTGTTTTGAATATTTATTTTTCAATTTCATCTCTTAAAATTTAATTTTTATATTAACTTTGGTTCTCATTTTTATAATTGTTATTTACCTTTTTCCTATCATTTTTTTATTGAAATTTTTTATCTATCAAATCTGATTCTCATTCTTTTGTTTGTTACTTATTTTATTTGAAATAATTTATAAAATGTTAATTATTATTATTTTTAATTTCTTCATCTTTTATTTTTTAGATTTGATCTCTATTATTTTGATTATTATTTATTTTATTTGAGATAATTTATAAAACATATTGTTTTCAATTTTATTCTCATTCAACCTTTTAATTTGTAAGATTTATTCCTTATTATTTCAATAAATTTCAGAAAAATAAAATATTAATAAGTTATTTTCCAACTTATTTTTCATTACATTACCAAATATTAAAAAATAATTTATTTTATTAGAATTTATTTTAAAAAAAAATATTTTTCAATAAATAAAATTCATTCGCCAACCATGTCATGGACTTGTTTTTCTTATAACTTTTCAAACATGTTCTCCCACGAATAGAAATATAGCATATACCAAAACTGAAGCCAGACTAAAATTTAAACTCAAGAAAACAAGCTAAATCCCAAAGTGTTTGTATTGATTCCACCAAAGAACTCCCGTGCAAAAGATTTGACCCCGTATCAATTCAAATTAAATATACTAATTGGTAAGATAATCACGGATTGTCGAAGATGCTTAGGAAATAAAATCCTTTTGAAATGTTTGAGGAAACCAATTTCATGATTGAGTCAATTATGATTTTTTTAAATTTCTTGAAAATTCTTCAATAATTGGGAGAAAGAAACGTTCTTGCATCTCCAAAACATTTAAATAAATCTCAAGGGTTTAGCAATTTCGAGAATTTCTTATCTCTTAAAGTTTTTCAAAATCTTATTTTTTAAAAAAAAAAATTCTTCTTTTCTTAGACATCCTGAACAGATTTTTATGAAAAAATCTGTCAATTTTTTGTAATTCACGAAATCCCATGCACATGTAAGGTAAAAAATTTAACTGCAGACTTGTTGGCTTGGGCATAGCAATGGATTTAAATTCAGGAATGTTTTATGTCATAAAGACATGATAATCACACATGATAATATGAAAAAAGAAATCTGAAAATCTTGGATGGTCATCCACCAGATATGAACTCCTCCGTCCGATGGAAATCCATCTTAGTAGTAAGGCATGTATCGCATTGACCTTCTGAATCTAGGCACCTTCCTGCCACCATTTAGAAGGTGAAATTAGGAAAAAGTATGAAAGAAAAGGCTATCAGAGCAACAAACACAGGAATGAGAGTACGAAGAAACACACCCATATCCATAAGGAGAGTAGAAATAAGGGGGCACATATGGCCTCCTGAACCGGTAACCCATGTAGGGATTGATTCGTCTAGGTCGATACTGCTTCATTCCAGGAACGTTGGTCCTTTTGGGTGAAACCTGAAACACGGATTAATTATCAACCAACAAAAACTACAAAATAGAACCAACATGATATCAACAGCAGCAATCATAAATTTAATCTACCATTCATGATGTGTAGTTAGAATTCATGTCCAGCTCCAGATCAATAAACCAAGCTTTTACTTCTTTTTTGATAGAACAATAATGGCTTACCTTCAATTGACGGCCATGTAGTTCAGATTCATTGAGAGCTAGAGCCTCTTGAACAGCTTCTACTTCAAGGAATTCCACATAAGCAAAACCCTTTGGCTGGCCAAACTTATCTGTCAGAATAGTAACCCTGTTTACTGTACCACAGGACTGAAAATGCTGCTGCACTTCTTCAGGTGTGCATGCATAATCAACCTGCAATCGCAAATTTCACCATTATGTTCCATTGTCAAATTAAGCTTGACTAGAAACAATAACTGTGGCTAATTTTTTTTCCAGAAGATGTTATTTCAATTCTAACAGCTAGATACAACCATGCATTTTGGAGTGTTCTTTATGCAATAGATATAATCAATCAAGCGATCACAATGCAGGGCAAATTGCTGCCAGAAAAGAAAAGAAAAGAAAAACAACAAATGGACTCTTCCTTTTCCTTTTATTTTTTCTACAGCATTCATTAGCTACAATTTACCAATCCTATCAATAGAACATCAAGTTCACCACACGCCAAAGTACATCCTAAAACATTATATTTAGGCCTTTCAGCCATTATATTTTTACTTGACAGCATCATTTTTAAGTCAAAATATCAATTTCCATAGTGCATACTGGTATAGCAACAATAGTCCAGCTTTGCTGTAAAAGCTTGCCAATGTCCAGCAGTTGAGCCACCGGTAACCCTTCTCATCACTGCATCCATAGAGTCATACTAAATCATATTTCACCATCCCAACATCAACATTCTAATGACACAACAAAACCATCCTACTAACCATCCTGTTTTTCCAATGAAGAGCTTGAAACAGTTTTTCCAGATGCCAGCTTCTAATTTGACTTCTACCTAGTACCATCAACAATATTAATCTTTTATTTTATTTTTTTCAAACAGTAACCAAACATCCTTGTGTTTACTGCGAATATATAATCTCAGCTCTATTAGATCAGGCGTTAATCCAAAATTATTTTACACTCATCCTTCTTCCATGTATGATCCTCCAGTGGATTTTTACATAGGTAGTTTCTTTCCTCACGATTTTCACATGACCTTCAAGTGTTACATTGCTATCGTTCCTTGTCCAACTAGAAGCATGACAGTAAACAAAGGATCAAAATTAAAGTGCTATGAAATTTCAAAAGAGTTGAAAACCCTGAATGTTTGATAGGACTGAAATAGCCTGAGCAACTTACATAAGTAAGACTCTGATGCACCAGGTTGTGCACAGATGATTATATAAAGAGATAGGCCGTGTATATCCATGAACCAAGCCAATTAAAAATGGTCATCATTCCAAGATGACAAGAAATATGTGTTTGTGCGCGTGTAGAGCAAATGATGGTTTCAAGTAAACGAAGGTAGTCAAAATATATGAAATTTTGAAACTCAATCATCGAAGCAGATTAACAGACTCATAAAAAAAAACATTAAGAAATAGCTTCAGTCATAATGGAAAAAATAGAAAACAACCATAAGATATATTAATGAATGTATAGAAAAAACATTTCTGGTATTTTTGGTGCTTAAACTCCTGACAGTGCACCTAAATGACTGGTTAATATATTTAAATCTCTTTAATTTTGTTAAATCTGAAAGAAGGGTGGTGTAAGAGGAAAAATATCAACTAGAACACGAGATTTTACACTTTGTCCAATCTAGATAGTCCAGAGAGATCAAGCAACTGATCAGTGTATTTCAAACTAAGATTGTGAAGTTTCTTTCCTCAAAGCAAATAAAAATAAGTGTGCACAAGCAATCAGTAATGTACTGAGTTGGGCTCCATTCAAAAGAAACATGAGATCTAACATGCATCTTATATAAACCATCAAGTGACCAAATCAAAATGAGCTAATAGCATTCTTGACAAAAAGAGAAAATTGAGCAATGAGCAAACAGTCTTCAAAGAACTCATAGCAAGTTAACCTGGGAAGGAAAGAGCGCATATTTGTCAAATATTTCCACCACTTTAGATAAACTAACAGGAAAAAAAGTTAGTAATTCTGACCACAAAAAGCAGCAATATACACCCTTGTCCCATCTGCCACATGATCACACATTTCGGAAGAACCAAAGCCCATCATCAGCAGGGTCGAGGTTCTGCAACTTAGATTGCACATCCCAACTTGTCCATGCTCCTCGAAAGCAACAACTTTCTCCTCAAATATCATGGTTGAAGCATCACTATTCACATCCTACACGCATCTGTTCCAGCGACCTCCAATGAGCCTTTTGCCAAATTCCCTCACTCCATTTCTTTCTTTCAAATAGATTTCATTCATACAACACCTTTATTTTTTTCTTTTTCTTTCTTTGCATTTTTCTTTCATGTTTTGACTTTTTCCTCCATCTTTCTTTCTTTCTTCATTTCTTCTTTCTTTCTTCTTTCTCATCTTTTTTTTCCTCATCTTTTTTTTCTGTTTATTCTTTTTGGCTAGCATTCCCCCCTCAAATGTTTCTTTTATTCCTTTTCTTCTTCTTTTTTCAAGTAAATTTGAACATAATTTCCCCAATTTACAGATTATTCTGTTTTTTTTCCTGTTTTCTTTCAAATTCAAAACTGATAATTTAATCTCTTGTAAAACTATCCTATTTGACATAAAAATGACTTTGGCCCACCCTCAAAATATGTTGTTAATATCCAGCAATACATACAGAGAACTTGGAGAGTAAGAAGACCCCTGCGATCATAGTGAGACATAAAGTCAAACCATGACTCTGAATTACAGTTATCCAAAAGTGAACCGATAACAATGAAACTAACATTAACACATTTTTTTAACTACTAAAATTAATGTCACTTGGCAGAGCCTGAAGCCCAAAGCCACTAGTGGTTGCAAAAGGGCTATCTAATTAGAAGTGTATTCATCTACTTAGTTTATTTATCTCTTATGGAAATAGATTAAACCCTTAATGAGATGTTTTGGCCAACTATTGGAAATAGTGCCATGTCATTAATATATCCATATAATATCTTCTTTCTTTCTTATATGTACACGCATACACTTATAAACAGTATGCATAGAATGGTTCAAGCATTCTACTAAAGGCAGAAGGTCAAGGGTACATGACATTATATTTCTCACATTGCCAACAAACACAGAACGGGAATCTGCTTCCTCCCTGTTTGCTTGATTAGCAGCTGCAGTAGCTGGATCTGTGGGAAAATGAAGCCATGCAAATACATATTATGAGCTCAAGTTTCAAGAAAAGAAAAACAGAGAGAAATTATGAGACCAGCTGGGGATATGAAGAAAAATAAAATATGAATAGCACCTCTGACAAGAACCACTCAAGCAGTAAACTACAAGCACAACAATGCTAAATGATATAATACTTATATGCTATAAAATAAACGCAAAAAAGAAAAACAGATGTAGAGACTTCAATGTGTTGAAATCCTCAAATCACATGATGCACTTTGGTCATACATAACAGAAACAACAAAGAGATGTCTACTGGTCAAAAACCATGTTGCAAAGAAATGTATATAATAAATCTCAATGCAAAAGAGTCAGGACATCTCACAGAAACTGGGCGCAGAAATTTTTTTTATCACTTTATAAACAGAACTCCCCATCCCAGAATATAGTTGGGAAGCGTAATTCTAGAAACAATTTCAGTAAAGCACAACTAATTACCACCCCAAATCTCAGATTAACACAATGTTGTCTGCCAAAATTTCCAAACCACTTAGAAAAGTAAGCTTCACAAAAACTACAGAAGTACAAAGTCCTACTCGCTGATTTCATCATCCAGAACTCCTGAATTTCCAGCTGCTCTTCTTTCTCTTAAAAATGTAAAATCACAATGTAGCAGAAACTGCCTTTTGATCTTAGCAGAACATTCTCTTACAAGTTTTACTTAAACATCACCATTTAAACAAACAAATAACCTTAAAATATCCCCAGCAACCCAATTCCAAGACAACAAATTCCTAGATAACCAGATGTTTAAATTACACCCCAAAATATTTAAGAACAGCAGCAGACCAAATCCAGAACACCTTAAAATTTAGTTAAGAACTAGATATGTATCACAGCGTATGTGCTAATAGATCTATATTCCTCCTGACACACAAAAATTAAAATATTAAAGAAAGAGGAAAAGTAAAACAAACCTTGAACAGCGCCCATTTCCTTCTCAACTTTAGCTTGCATCTCACGAAGAGCAGCCGCTTCCTCTTCCATCTCCTTCAATCTCTTCTTCATCTCATCCAACTCCTTCACCAATACAATATCATCCAAAAAACTAAAATCAGTTACTGATTTCTCAATATTTAAATAACCGAAGGTCGAATTTAAATTTCTAGGGCTTCGGTTAACTATATAATTAAAAACTGAAATTGAATGGAAAAAATGTTGAAGGACCTTGACGGCATCGTCATCGGCGGCGGACATGTCAACGTCGGCGTTGTGAGGATCCATATCCCCTTCCACATCAGGAATCTCTCCACCGTAAACCTCATGTTCTTCTTCCTCCATCTCTTCTCGTTTTTTTTTTTTACCTTCTTTTGTTTCTAGAAACTGGTGGCGTCTCTCTTTTCGGAGCTGGATATTCGGGTTTTTCTAGGTGTTACATGAGACGTGGAAAATAGATGTTGTTTACATGCTGTCGTTTGCTGATACTGACATTAAGCAGATGACAGATCGTTTATCTTTAATTATAACGTTTTTAATTAATCCCTAATGCACCCCCTAATTTTCAATTTTCATCATAAAAAACAAATTAGTGTTTGTTAGTCGCGTTTGGTTGTCAATAAAATGGTGTTTGATTTATAAAAAAAAAAACATTAAATAATTATTTTTTCCAGAGTGATTTTGAAATGATTTTTTGCACTTCGCATTTTAATACCATACAAAAAGTAAAGTAAATAAGTACATGCCTTGTCTGTTTTTATTATCCTCATTTCTTCTGTTAAGTTAACCAAACACAAACCATCTTAGATTAAGGCTTGATATTGTAATAATAATTATTTTTTAAAAAAAAAATTATTTATAAATATATTAAAATAATATTTTTATATTTATTTATTTAATTTAATTTTAATATTAGCATATAAAAATAATCTAAAAGTACAAACAAATTAATTTAAAATAATAAAAAACATAATTTTTAAAACACGCTATAAGTTTCTCTATTATTTTATATTCAATATTATCTTCAATATGAAATGGTTGGAAGAAATGATACTATAAAGATACTATAATCCTCTGGAATTAAAAAAAAAAAAAAAAAAGAAGAAACAGGCGCTGGAAACGATCAAGAACTAACAGGTTACAGGTTTTTTCCAAGCACAACAAACAAAGCTTCTTGCAACCGCTAATTAAAACTAATATTTAACAATCAATATTTGCATAAACTATTATCTGCAAACAGGCGCAGGAAACGATCAATATTTGCATAAACTATTATCTGCAATGACCAGCTACACAGTTTAACATGGTGAGAAGATAAAATTAAAGAAGATACTATAAACTATGAAGTAAAAAGACATATTAAGCACGAGCTTCATCGGAAAGTGAGGAAGAGGGATTCTCTAGACATGTTTTGATTGTCTTGGAGCGACAGCAAAAGCAGCTCTGATGATTGGTTTAACCTTTTCAACAAGTTTTATGATTCCCAAAAACATGAGACGGTAAAGAATCACCATTCCTAAGAGGATAGCGATATCAATCCACTTAGAATAACCCATCTCTACTTGCCATGTGTTTTTCAGAATTTCTTCGCCAGTAATGGTAGGCGGCCCTCCTGCTAGATTATTAGGGAATGTCAATCCTTGGAATTCATTCTTGTAGAACCCTTGGTTTGCATACTTGTGGAATGCAATGTAGTACATCGGATATCTCCAGAAAGGCTTAGGAAGATCATCTGGTAACCGAAAAAATCCTCCGTTTAGCATCATAACACCTTGAATTCCTGCACCTGTTATGATACCCATCAAGAAATCTGGCACGATACTTGCAACGATCATCATTAAACTTTCGACCAGCATCATGCACACGAAGAGTAGCAGTGCAAAGCAGACAAAGTGTTCCAAGCTCTTTTGAAGGCCAACTAGGTAATAGGCCATTGCTCCAGGGATTATAGATATCATGAGCAGGTAAGGAATGGAAGACAATGTGTTTCCAACAACAAACGCACCAACACCATAGTGCCCATTTAATCTTTCTCGTCCGAAAATCTGATGTGGATAAAGCAAAATCAGTCTCATTACTGTTCATAACTGTCGAATTTTATCTGTTGCAAAGCATTAGAAATAGTTTAGCAAGGAAAAAACCACCTTCATGTCCTCTACGAAAGAGGGGAATCCACCAATTGCCATGAAAGTCAAGAACGCAGCAACAAACATGAGCATTGAGCCTCTAGCCTGAGAATTCGCAAGTAATAATGTCAAGGCAGTTTTCAGTAGCACCAATGCTGCGGAAAGATTTTACTCTCAGATGCAATAATTTACCTGTATTGACCCAAAAGTTAAGCCAATATCATAGAAGATTGTCCCTACACATAGGCACAATGCTATGTAGATTGCAAGGCGAAGCCAGTAATAGCCTAGATCGCGGTACATGTTGACGAAAGATCTCCTTGTAAGAACAAGGCACTGAGTGATGAAGCTTGCCTGGCTTCCTTTCTTCTCTAGAATTCCTCCTTTCTTCAAAAGTAATAAGCTGGTAAGGTTAAACTCTCTAATATCTACTTTGTAACTTAAATAGCGTTTCAACTATTTAAGACAATTCTGTTTACCTGCTCGCATATGGAAGCTACTCGCTGGCGAACTTGCAGGAAAATCTCTGATGATTTGTAGGACTTGACAAGAACATTGATGGCTTCCTCTGTGCTCCCACCATTCCCTTGTTCAATGTCCTGGTCAAATAAGTAATAAGTCTTCAAAGGACAGGCAATCAACTCTCAAGAGAAAGGGTTTGTCGTCAGAAAATATTTACCATATCAAAATCCGCGTTTATGGTTCTAAGGTAGTGATCTGATGGGTTTCTCAAAGGAGCGCATGGAAAGCCATTTGAAGAAAAGAACTGCAGCAAAAAGAAAGAATATTTGGACAACTCATCAACTGCTCAATATAAATGAATCATCTCAAGAAAATTTAAACTAGTTTTTAAAATTCAAAAGAGGAACTCAAAAACCGAAAAGACAAAAGTGATGACAGTACCTGTTCTGCCATTGAAACAGGACCAAAATAGACGGTTCTTCCAGAAGAAAGAAGGCAGAGGTTGTGGAAGAGCTCAAAAACCTCACTACTTGGCTGATGAATTGATGCAACAATTGTCCTTCCTTCTTGGCGAGCAAGCTTAACGATATGGTTCATGACATGGTAAGATGCTGCACTATCCAGTCCACTAGTAGGCTCATCAAGGAAGAGCAGCTTGGGCTGGGTCAAGATTTCAATGCAAATACTAACTCTCCTCTTCTGTCCTCCGCTAATGCCCTTCATGCCCCACCCTCCTATTCTGGTGTCGGCAGAGCCTTGTAAGCCCATCTCTCTTATTGTTATCTCAGCTCTTTCCTTCTTCTCAGATGTTGACATGAAATCTGGAAGTTGGAGCTGTGCTGAGTAGTAGACAGCTTCCCTCACGGTTAATGTTGTCATTAGAGTATCATCTTGAGTAACGTAGGCCTGGGAGGATGATACAGTTAGTGGTTATCAGTGTGCTAAGACCAAATTTAAAGAGGCAAAACAGAGAAGTTGGTTCCAAGGAGAGTGCTTCCCTACACCTCCTAAGAAGAGAGAACATTAGAAGGACATGCTATTGGTTGACTCGATAGCACTCTACCTTTCCTTGTTTTTTCATTATAGAGAAAACTAAGGTGAAATAAGCCTCCATGATGCACAGAAATCAGGTCTTGATAAATAAAATCACTTGATGACTCTTACTTGCATGATTTTTCAGAATATGACTACAGGATATAGTCAACTACAAACAAGTTTAATTTCATTTAAGGCTTCTTGGACCATATTGGTAGGAAGTATATATATAACGATGGAAAACATTTCAGCTAAAATTAAATTAACAAATGCATGAGATGTTTTCCGCTGTCAAGTATTTCTTACCGAAGTTCCAAATGCAAGTGTCTCCTTTCGACCATTGATTAGGATCTCTCCAGTTTGCTGTGTGTTTGAACTTAATCTTCCTGCAATTTTTCTTCATCAGTAGCTTTCAAGCATAATTAAAAGGACATTTTCTTTTCACTTATAAACTACTATCATGTAGCTTACAAGCTGCATAATAGAGGTCAATGAAGTAAAAAAAAAATACAACTACTCATACTGAAAAGGGTAAAATATTAATGAAACAAACACCTTCCCAATTTTAGAGTTCAAAACTTCTTTCTTCTTACTGAATAGGCCAGCAAATAAACAACTTTGGTTCTGCTAAGTGGTAGGCCTGATTAGCAGAACAAGTCCTAACTAGAAGTTTGATGGTAGATGGAAAAATACCTGCCAGAGCATCTAGAAGAGTTGTCTTGCCGCTTCCCGAAGGACCCATAATAGCCAAAACCTCCCCTGGCTGAGCATAACCGGTTAGACCGTGCAGGATTGGTTGGCCCCCGTTTTTCCCATCAGGCACTGTAACCCACAGATCAATCCATGTCATGAGAAGGCCATTGCTGTTTCCCTTTGATGTCAAGCCCCCACCATCATAGTTCTTGCCTCCCTTTAGTAACGTCCCGAGTGGCTCCATCTCTGTCATCATAGATAATGCTTCATAGGTGCCTGAATAAGGAGGTGGATCAGGACCTGTTGTGGTGCCAGGGCTAAATGGGAACGTGTTGTCTACCGTTGTACGCTTGCCATCTTCCTCAGAAATTATGCTTGGCAACTCCAAGTCATCTACACCTGCTTCTCTTTTCGACGGTACAACGTTAGCTTTTGTTTCAGGCTCTTTTAGAAGTGATCGACTGGGGCTTGGACTTGGAGTCCATCTAGGCACATTAACTGCAGAATCCATTTGCTCAATTAGCAAAACCTGTAGAAGTTGTCAGAAAGGAGTTTGTATTTGATCAATTACAACGGTACCGGTGATTAATGAATGAACAGCTTCTTTAATTTATAGGCATGAATTTTATCAAAATACTCTATTCAAATCAACCAGAGCGTGCCGAAGTAAATGTGTGATCGGTAAATTTAGTGTAGAATGATTCTTGAAGTGTTTTTTTTTTTTGGCTTGAAAATGAATTTCTTTTAGATTTTTTATTTTTGATATAAACATATTAAAAACATCCATTAAAACACAGTTCAAACGCATTAACAAAGTCCATAGAAAAAGGATAGAAAAGCAGCCTCTTTCGAGTATTCGCTATTCCATTGTGGCTGCTGTATATACTTGTTCAATGAACGCCAACGCCAACGCCAACGGGCTTCTTATCTATCCATCTTCATGGGGCCAATTTTGGTCCCGCAATTTGCATGTTCATGGAAGCCTGCACCTTGATTTGGAAATTCAAACCTGATTAGCTATCGGTTACAATTTTTTTATTCATGGCATCACACGTATTTTCATGTGCTGCCCTTTTTTTTCGCCTACCTACGCGTGTCCTGGAGGATGGATTTGGACACAGTATATGAAAAGAAACGAGTAGCCATTGCAGAATACAATTCTATAGTAATATAAAAATAATCAGATACAAAACTCTGGGTATCTGGGTGAACGCGTTGATGACGATGTTCTCATGCGTTGAAAGGACGGGGGCTGCGGTTTCTGCTACTAGACATGGGGATCTGACGGTGATTTATTCACTGAACAGAACAAGAATCTGTCTTAGGACATGTTATTTGTTTATGCTGAATTATTTATTAATTTAATATTTAGAACTGGGGCCTAGTTGCTGAATTGGATTTGACTGGATGCCTTAAAACGATGTAATGGACGATTACAAAGTGCGCATGTCTGCTCATGACTTTCAGCCATTCAACGACAGCTAAAGTTTTTAGCTTTATAATTCTCAAAAAAATTAAAAACAATTTTATTAAAAAATAATTTTTTTATATGTTTGTATGATTTTAATATATTAATTTTTAAAATAATTTTTAAAAAATAAAAAAAAATATTATTTTAATATATTTTAGTATAAAAAATCTAACATAATTAGAAGTAAAAAAAACTGAAAACTGATTAAATTAAAAAAACCAAAAAAAATTAATTAAAAAAATCAAATCAAGAATAAAAAACTTAACTAATTAAAAGCTCAAAAAAAAAAATTCACTTCGATTTGATTTTTAGTTTTAAATACCTAAAACTAATTAAATTAGAATGAATTAAACCGGTTAAACCACCTAACTCTAAAACAAAATATATATATATATATAAAAAACTACTAACCTAAATTCTAAAACACCACTCTAACACTTGTAGCCGCCGCATTCCTTCGCATCCCAACTCTCCCCATAAAAGAACGCAGCACATTCTTCGCAGACACCACATGGTTTGTACTCATGTGAGAGGCAATTCGGGGCAACATCAAGCAAATATCCTCACCATGTAGAGGTCTTGCTTGTGCCACGAGGACCATGGAAGAGATATAAAAAGGTTATCCTTTTTTTAGAAATGTCACGAAAAAGAGATCTTACCACTACATTTTGTCCCACCAGTTCATCGAAGAATTTTGTTCTATTTTTCTGACTCAAACTCCTAGGAGTTTCATTTGTAGGGTGCTTCCAGCTTCTCTTCCCACGAGGAGTTGTCTCAGCTACATCTTTAGACAATAATGGATTGCCTTTTGCATCGGTTTTTGTTCAGCAGCAGCTTATCCCACATCCACAGTTACTTTGAACCATGAAAACAGTATAAACGGGATTTCATTCTTGGTTTTACCGGTTTTTTAATAATAAAAACTAAACTAAATCAAATTCAAACTAATTAATTTAACTAGTTTTAATTTTAAGTTTTAAAAAATAATTTTTTTAATTCTTTTATATAAAAATTAAACCGAATTGAAAATAATTATCACTGAATAAAACTATATTTCTATATAATTTCTTATAAAATGATTTTTTGAGAATAAGTTGGGATTGTATATTTTTATTATAAATATATCAAAAATAATATTTTTATTTTTAAAAAATTATTTTTATTATAAATATATCAAAAATTAATTTAAAAAATTATAAAAAAATATTTTAAATTAAATATTTTAAAAACACCGTTTAAAATACAATTACAAGCGACGCTTGTGTAGCGATGATGACGAGATGGGGAAAGGAATCAAAGCGTCATTTTGGTGACATCAGTTTCCAACTAATTTCCTTTTTTTATTCAATTCGCTTTCCATATCCTCTCTGCAGAGAAGGAGACATTAGGAGAGAGGACATGAACATCAAGATTCGCTTGGTTTTTGGAAATCATAAAATATTATTTGATGAAATTAAAAATCTATCCCTGTTTAAATTCTCTCTAAAAAAAAGGTTAGCAACATTGTATATATTTTTCTGAGTATCCTATCACAGGAGTCTCTTTCTTTGATTTGTTTAAATTTAGAGGTTATGAAATTGCATAGCACAAAATATTTTACCACAGCCAAATTATATAATTATCTAAACCTTTTATCAACATCTATAATTTTATTCTTATATATAAATCCAGATTTAACATGTCTAAAACACCTCTAAAAACATACTTTTTTCTAGTTCAAGTGAAAAAACAACTTATTATATTTTTATTAATATTAATATTAGGTATGAAATAGTATATAAAATCTTGTAAAAACTTATTATATTTTAATTAACATCAATATATATATTATGAATATTTTTTATTAAAATTATCAGGACAATATTACATTTAGTTATTTTAAAAAAAAATTATAAGTTATAGATAAATTATGAATCATTCGGCTAAAAAAAATTAGAATTTTTATTATTTATTATATATTTATTGTTAGAGTATCTCTCAGTATTATTATTTTATCTTCTCTTAAAAATTTATTAATTTAATTATTAAAAAGTCTTTAAATTTATTAAAGAGAGAGTCTTTGCTAAATATCATGCATCCGCCACACGTCACCTTAGCCAATAAAAATAAATAAAATTGTTAAAATTAAAAAATTAATTAATTATTTAAGATATAAATATTTAACTTAAGCTAAAAATATAGCGTTGCAACAAGTTTGTTTCCTCCCTTTTTTTTTCACTTTGAATCTTAAAATATGTCTAAGAAGATTTATTTCTTAAACACATTACAGTAGGTTTTTATACAAGGAGATCTAGTCTTTCTTAAGACGGCAGGTCATTTGAGAATGTTTTTGACTATTAAAAAAAAACTTGTCTTTATAATATTTTACTTAAACAGTAAGAATCAAAGAAGAATTCTCTACCATTTAAACAATAAACTCTGTTCATTGTTGTCAGAGGAGATTCAAATTGATTGATGAACGCCCTAATCCAAAAATATCACTTACCGCCTAATTAAAAAAAAAAAACGGTGTTAATTGTTGGGTCCAGAGAAATTCTCTTACAGGAAAGAACGTGGCCATGCATGGTATAACTTCTTGTAAGATGTCTTATATAAATACAATAAAAATGATCCAGGGAGAACTAGAGGCAATATCCTGATATAAAAACAATTTACAAACAGATTTTTGTACAACTTCTTAATGCAAAATTAAGTGTTATTTGATTAATAATATTAAAGCATGGATGCTGTTAATGAGAAACGCCTGGGTTTCTATGAAAGAAACACGTAAAGATTTTATCTGGGGGTAGATTTTTCTAAAATTATCGGGCCTTCGAGGAATGCTGTTGACTTCCATTTCCATTTCCAAAAGCTTTAAGGAATCCCTCACGCCACCCATCACAACTTGCAAAGCTTTAAGAATCCCTCACGCCACCCATCACAACTTGCCTTTGTATAGGATAAAGGTTCACAGATACGATGAATAAAAAGAATAAAGAAAGCTCTGCAAATCCATCAATCACCATTATTGTTTTTATTGATGCGGCGTTCCCTTCCCACGCATCCTAGCAGCTGCTAGCCTGCCACTTGCCCACGCCTTTATTTTCCATCGAGCATCTCTACCTATTGATGATGCTTTCTTGTCAGATGTTTTTTTAGATTAAAACGGTATTTGTACTGATTAAGATGTATCATGATTAATTTTATAAGTTTAAAGGTAATAACTATATAAATTTTTAATGATTATTATATAAATAATTAAGAATTTAAATCTAAAATTAAAAAAAAAAATTTAAATTTTTACCATTTAATCACTTAACCATCATCTGAATAATTATTTATTATCAGATTTCTTGTTTCATAAAGGATTGTACAATCCAAGGCAAAAGTCAATTGATAGTAACGTATCTTTATTGATGCGTCGCAAGTCACATGGAGCTGCCATCCATGGCAAAAATTAATAATTACCCCTTCAAGGGTCGATGGCTGCTTTTCTGAATTAATGGGGCCCGTCATTTTGCCGGCAACTTGCTAGCGAAGATTTAAAATAGAAAGGCAAACATTATCCATACCTCCTCCTGAGGTTGCTGCATTGATATTGGTGCAGACACGTAAGTTATGTACAGGAATTGTAATTTCACTGTAGAGTTTTGGGAAGATGATTTTTTTTTCCGACAAAATTCTCAAAAAAAAATTGTTTGTATTTTAACCGATGAGATAACTTCTTGCATGGTTAATTAATATTTTTTTAGATTAACATGAATATTTAAATTAATTTAAATACATGTTAATTAATTTTATAAGAATTATAATTAATAATAATATAAGTATTCAATTTAAACTTGTAATTATTAAAAAATAAATTTAAAACCTAACAAATTAAAGTTATTTGATTCTTAAGCTTTGGTGTCAAAGATATCATACAGAAATAGAGAAGTTTTACAGCATTTAAACTATAATCCCTAATTGCCTAACATTTGCAACATGCTGGTTGATAAAATCCGTTACAAAAAGTAAATAATTGTGCAATCTAGGGATATGCCTCTCTTCTTCCAGCTATACAGTTTTTGCATCGTCATCTCGATGATTTTGGGAAGATGATTTTTTTTTGTCTACAAAATTCTCAAATACATGTTGATCACAATTATTTTAACCTTATGATAGAGATGGGGTAACTTCTTGCATGGTTAATTAATATTTTATTAGATTAATATGAATATTTAAATTAATTTAAATACATGTTAATTAATTTTATAAGAATTATAATTAATAATAATATAAGTATTC